CTAGAACTAACTGGAACTATGTTGTGGATTTATGAAACTGGCTAAAACATACTGAATCCATAGATAGAATATCCTTCATATTTGTGTGTATGAATCTATTTGTTAGCCTGTTGAACTGATGTGAAATAGATTTTGTTTTTTTCTCTCACAAATGATTGATTCATTTATGAAACTGAAGGTAGTAGCAGCAGCAAAACACCCACTTCTTCGACCAACTCTGATCTTCCTCTGGTTGGTCACAGACAAGCAGTTTACGTCACACATGTCAACAAATTACGGCACTTCATTCTCCTCATGGTGGCGCTAACGCTAGTACGCAAAATGGCGGTGGGAAAAGTTAGGATAAAACTCCAGAGTCAGTTATTGTTCAACAATAATTTAATATGTTGTTTGAAAATTGTATTGTCTGTTAAGTACTCATTACTCAATCTGTGTACACAGAACCACAATACAATACTTTGACCTTTTTTCTTTTACTTCTGCATCTAAAAGTATGAAAAAACTAAAACTACTAATAAAAACATATAAAAACTGGCAAACACACTCTAAAAACTAATAACTGAATTAGACAAAAATTCACAACAAAATACAACTTAACTAATAAAAAAACCTAAATCTATCATAACACTGGTCACGTTGGGGAGGGGCCCTGTGCGCCTCGCAGAGCAGCTCGACGAAAATACCTCGACCTCCAAAACGTCCCGCCTTAAACGGCGTCTCTTGCACAGGGGAATAAAATATGTTTGATTCCAGAGAGAGGGCATATCAATATCTCACCGGCGGGTCGTGTGTTTTGAGGTGTCGCTCCTGCCACCTACCTGACTGCCTATGGGTAATTCATTCACCTTTACGGGTTTCAAAAAAAAAAAAAAAAAATCTAAGCGAGTAAAAAGGAGATTTAATAGTGAGCGGAGGTCACACTTCATAAGAATGACTGAGCGTGCCTCCTTGGTGAGGTAAAGGCCCGTGAAGCAATGAGGCTTTATTTCTAGCTCAAACCGCTTTCTGTCACCTCCTGACCCCGCTCCGCAGCGCCGGTCACCCTCACATGCATCAAATCTAGCCAGACCTTCTCCATCCCCTCCTCCTTCTCCTCCTCCTCTTCCTCCTTATGGTCGCATTCGTTAGCTCAACTTTTCCATCCTCCACGTGCGGCGTCCAGGTTTCTTCCCATCTCCAGGGTTCGAACGTCTTCTTTGCCTCCCACTGAAATAACTGAGATGATAAACGCTGCAATATATTAAAAAGATGCTCCTGAAAGTATGCCGCGTCTACAACGATAAAACAACTTTGCAAAAAACCAAAACTATCCTACTGTAAATACGAGGAATCCCTCGTGAAGTTTCTGACACATGCAGAAGCTCAAGAAACAAAGTAAAAAGTTACAATGAACCCTAAAAAGGAAGGTCGCTTATACAAAAGACACCAGCCGTGCTGACCTAGCCTTTAATAAGAGATGGTGAGAAGCTGCTAACAGCCTCTACCCTGTTTGAGAGATGAAACTTATGAGTGGAGGAGGGCGAGCAGCAAAGCATTGAAAAGAGCCCCGCGAGAATAGACACGCAGGAGATCCTCAAAGGCAGAGTCTCTTCCTCGGCTTTTTAATTGCGAGGGAGGTTAGGCATATTCTGTAACCCCTCCACAGCCTATTACAGGTGATGACCAGCACCTGCTCACTCCATTTAAAAAAAGAAAAAAAAAACAAAAAGAGGAAAAAGAAAAGTTGGGGAGGATGTGGGAAACAGTGATGAATTCTCCAGAGGGTAGTTAGTTTCAAATGTACAAGCTCTCCGCCAAGAGCAATAATCGTTTGCATGCGTGGCGTTCTGCAGGTGAGGGAGATGAGTTTGTTTGTATCTTTGAAAAATATTCAAAAACTAAAACTCAGGAAGGTGAAAAACACCAGTGTGGTGAGTCTGAGGGGCTACCAGACAGCTGAAGGTTGGTTTGGGCACTTTGCTGGGGGCTTCATGTAGGTAACGTTTGATAGTGATTTACGGTTGTTGTTTTTTTGTTGTTGTTGTTGTGATGAACCAACAAAAAAGTAGTGCATAATTGAGTTAAATAGAAACATTTTAATGTTTTTTTCAAAACAGAAAAAAGAATCTAAAACTGAGGTATGCCTTCTTTTATTCCTGAAAATGCCACAGCTCTTCGGGGGTGGAGGGGGTGAGTGTGACATGAGGAAAAATATAAACCAGAAAACGAAACTGCAAACATTTAGCCAACATTACAAAGCCTAACCCAGAGACGAAATTAATAGTTTTTCTAGCATCTAAAGCCACGTTGCATAAGGACACAGAGTCTGGGTCAAGGTACATAAAAAACAGAGGGAATTTTACCCAGGACTATTTAAAGTTTGGAAATTAATGGGCTGGATTTGAAGATGTTCCACTACAAAGTCCCAGGAGAAAAAAAAAAAAAAAAAAAAACACAAGCTAAATGAACTGAAGTCACAGCAACAAGTAGTTCACATTTTTGGCACTACAAGTGACAACGCAATGGAAGCATCATGTCATGTAGCTAAAGCAGGTAAACCCCACAGCATCAGTAAAGTATGTATGAATATTACGTTTCCTCCAGTGTATTATTGAGCCTGGCGGGCTTCCAGGCTTAACTTGCTAAACTGAAGTTCAACAAAACAAACAAAAAATATATTTTCATTAAAATATTTTGTTTTTGCCTTTTTCTTAAACTCTATTGCTCTTGCTTATTTATTGTCGATAAAATCTTCCAAATAACAAAATTACTTAGTTATAATTTCAAATTTTCTGTCAACCTTTAACGTTTTTTAACACAAAAACACAGTGGGCTGACCTAGCACCTCTACCACCAGACTTAGCAAATTTTCTGGGAGAAACCCTGAAATGGCTTACAGAAATAATAAAAAAATAAAAGCAACACTTAAAATTTGGAACTGTATGTTATTTTCCTTCCACTTCAAAATCATTCTGTTGTGTTTTAGCCTATCACTCATAATCCCAATGAAAACCAGTGAATTTTGTGGATGAAATGTGACAAAATATGAAAAAGTTGAAGGGGTGTGAATACTTGTAGATCGTAGATGGAGTGTATCAGTCGGGAAGGCAACTTGAGGTGCTGCTCTGTCAAATCGCTTTTCCACTCAAGGATAACAGGCTTTACTCTGAGAGAAGCCACATTTCATGGCTATAATACGACCAGAGTTATTTAAAGCCACTGATGACTTCAGAACCACGAGGGGAGCTTAAAAACAGCGAAAACTCCGAAAATGATTTAATAAAAGTTCTGCGTTCAAGGAATCTTGGGAAGAAAAAAAAAATGAAAGGAACGGCCTCTGAGTCTGAAACCCGGGTGGACTTTTCCTTATGTGTCTTAACACGATGAATTGTGAGGCTTGCTGATGGCTTTAATGGGAATTTCTTAATTAATCCAAATGTAGAATGAAGGATCAAACCCCCATGAAGGGCTCGTCACTCCAGCAGAGCAGCAGGTCAGCGCCAGCCTCAGCTGGGATCTTTGAAACGAGAGATATGAAGCTTCTGTGTGCAGGAGACTGTTAGAAAATAATGAATAGTTACTTCATTCAGCTGAAGCATGGCTCGGGCTCTAAATCAACCAATTAAAATGTTTTGACGTGAAATGTACAAATTCAGTCGTAAAAACAAATTCAAACCTTATGTTTGATCCAAAAGGAGTCAACTCTGTAGGTCAGAATGTCATGGCTGATGGTAAGAATTTGCTCTTTGGATGTGTGCTTGTTATCATTTATCTTCCAGGCGGTTAAAGGTTGCTAAAAATATGTATAACCTTTTACTTTAATAGAATGTAAAAGGATCAGGGATACCAAACCAAGTCCTGTAACACAGAGTCACATCTGACGCTTTGTAAAATCACGTGCCACTTAAAATGCTTGGAAACTGTGAAGTTCAAGGACTAACTCCAGATGCAAATAATGTTGTTGGCCTGCTAGTGGTTTTGCAGATTAGCCGCAATATGCTGCTTCAACAAAGGTGATTATGTGACTGTGAAAGATTCTAAGATCTGCCACTAACCCTCAACAGTGTGCATAACTTTGTCCAAAGATGTTTCTGATTTCACATGCCTAGCAACAGTGCTTAAAGAGACAGTATTCTGTATTTTCCAGGTATATAGTGCTATTTCATAGCACAATCAAGTAACTATGCTACCTTCAGTTGCTATAAAAATGCCTTGTATATCAAATATGACTATAAAGACATTGGACTTTGCAACTTAATGCCTTGAAATTTGGCATCTGTCTCTTTAAAAAGTCCTGCTATTTCTGGAACTCCCCCTTGAGGAAGTAATCAGAACATCAGTCCTCTTTTAACCCTTTTAACCAGCGATTCTTGCATAATGAGCTCAGCTGATGAACAGTTTCACCAGGTGTTTGCTAATTGCTGCTGGCTTGTCTGAAGGAGCTGAGTGGTGGAGTCACATGAAGCTTCCACTGCACCTTGTGAGATGGAAGCTCAAGCTTAGAAACTGCAGCTAAGAGGAGGAACTGTGCCTTGAAGGTGGAGCTCAAACATGCATGAAAGAATCAAATTAAATAATTTATTTTACATAATACGGCCCCTTTAATAAACTCAAACAGCACTGCAGTGGACAATGTTTGCATTGTCAACTGTCGAGGGCTAGGCTATTGTTAGCCTGTTTACTCTCTGTTTTGATATGACTCTTTGACAGCTCTTTTCAGTGAGGTTCCATTTAGTCGTTTGCAGAAAATAAAGTTACTGAAATGTTCCCCTGCTGCAGTGTGTTTTCAATGAGATGACTCCGAAGTTTTTAGGCAGGATGTGGTGAAATGCACAATCTGCTTGCTTTTCTGTCTGCATTGCCAACATTCATGCTGAAAAATTGTAAATCATACTTCTACACTAATACTCTGTTAAACCTGCTATGCCTTCTACACTTTACCAAATACTTTCTAAGCCATGGCAGAGTTTAGTTCATGAGTGATTACGCTTTAAAACAAATATACTCCTGCTCGATTACTTGAAGCCGATTCTCTTCTAAAATGACAATTTTACTGCATTTTGATGTGAAGCCCCCCTTTCTGTCATTATTTTTCTTTCTTGTGTTACATATATAGTTACAGGACATACCAGTGCAGTGGTGTCAGTGCTCATCTCAATCTTTCCTTCAAACGGTCCCCATGTTGTCCCCACAGGAAGCTGCTGCCGGCTGTGGATCCGACGCTCGCCATCTTTGAGAAACGCGTCCAGCTCTCCTAAAAGCACAACAGTATAATTTTTTTTTTAAAAATTAGTCTTGTCAGAATTCTGCTTTTCAAATCACAATCATGTTCATCCTAAATCTGCTAAACTGACACATGGACTATTCTTATAGCATCAAATCCCTATATATATAAAAAAACAAAGCTGTGAAGGTTAAAGCCAGGCATTCTCAGCGTGGATTAGCAAATCAAGCGAGCATCCATCTGATGGTATTCCTCAGACGCAAGGAGCCCTAACCTTACTTGAAAGGTGTCTTGTGTGGAGATAATCTCTGTGAGACAGTGCAGGCTCGCTGGCTGCTGAGGGGAGCTGGTGGCAGGCCTATTTCTGTTGTTCCAGGAAAGCAAGATCCCTTGTTAGCGCTCTGCAGAGCCGTAGTTAATTAACAGCGGGACCGGATAGCACTGTTAGTACTACCGGTGCTCACCTCCCCAACGCCCCCGGCTATCTTATCACTTAGATTCAGTGTACTTTTTTTTTTTCTAGAATGGCGATTAATCAAATAGTTATGATAAACCTTGTGGCGGGCCGTGACGTGGTTTGCAGAGGAGGATGTTTCCAGCGTGTGCTGCAGAGAGAAAGTATGCAGCGCTTTAGAAGTTCAAACCGGTTGCTCTGGCAACGCCGTAAAGCCAGGGGAAATCTGACCAAACGTACATTTAGTAGTACTTGACAGTGCTTATGTGAGATTATTTGTGAAACATGCTGTTAGGACAGAAGTTGGGTAGTTATAACCTAACATTGGATCTTTGTTGGGTGACCAAAGAGACTTATATGTTTTGTGTCATTTTATTTTGAAACAGAAAAAACTAAGGATTAAATAGGTATGGGAAATGGATAGATGAATCAATCAATTTAACCAACCATTGTTTTTTAATAATCTATTTTCTTCTTGAATAGATAGGAAGGCTTTTGCCTTCCTATATGATTCAGTTTGATTCTCATCTCCCTTCCCTGCTTCATCTGGGATTTCTTCCATTGAAGTGAATTTCTCCAGTAGAATTTCAACTGGACCAATCAGCAAACAGAAGGAGAAGCTGTGAATGATGTCAATTTTCTGCGTTGTTTTAGATTTGTAGTCTGTCTGTAGTTTTAGCATCGACAGTGGAGGAAGTGAGTGAAGGCATTCAGTCTGTGTTGGCCACGCCTCCAAATATTGAATTAAGAGTGATAGTCATTTCATTCAGCTTGCCACTTCTCTCCTTGTAGTGGAGGATGGTTGTTCACAATTGCTTCATAGCATCAAACTGCTGCATTATATATGTCACATCCAAAAGTTAGCAACTGGGTTAAATTTTAAACTTCAACAGAGTCGACACCTACAGGAAGCAATCGTTTCTTAACAGCCCCAAGTCCAGACCCTCTGAATGAAGTGAATAATAGAACTAGCGGTTGTTTTTTCCAGGCTAGTCAACTCCATCTTTGTTTAACATTAGTCACACGAACTAATGTGTGTGACTAACGTCGGTATGTTTGGTCAAACTCAGATTCCAACCCTTTTAAATCATTCATATTTGACCTCAGCCTTGGTCAGCAAAATAACCCAAATTTGCTTGTTTTTTTCCCCACCCAGCATTTTTTAGAGTGTCTTAACAAACCAGACATGCATTGTTCACAGCGTTTGTTAACACGTGAGGCCACCAGGTTCGACTCGCACTGAATGAGCGGCAGCGATCGGTGAACTTTGTGATGCGTTCGCTTCATAACGACCTATTCAGCGTCGGCCTACTCTGTAAATATCAGCCGTGTATCTCGTTGGCGCTCTATTGTTGCCAGTCTGTTGTGTTGGTATGGAAATGCGTGCCTATGCTCTGCTTTGCATGTTCAGCTGCGATCCAGGCCATGACTAAAGACGCCGGTGGCTACAAACGACCCGATCGTATTCCTCATCAATGGGGGTCAATTCTGCAACAATAAAAGGGTAAATGTCACGTATCATGAAAAAACATTTAAAATAAAAAAAAAAAGCTCCTTCCTGAACAGTCTGTGGATGGCTGTAGATTCAAAGTTAATGAAGCATCAGCACATGAACTCAGTGTTTATTTATGCTTCAGAGAGATTACGTGGTTTTGGAATCGGCCTTAAAGTTAGATATTCTCGACAGCTTTATCTCATCCTTCCCCTCCCTTTGTATCCGCTGTCCCCCACCAGCCCCCCGCTCCTCTCTCCTCCCCCCGCTCCTGCTGTTGCATGCTGCCTTCCTGGTGCTGCAGTGGAAGGTGGGTAAGCTCATTACACAGAAATAATTAAACACTGGTGCACAGCTGGCCGTCATCACTGAGAGCAACAGCCACTGCTTGATGCATTCTGTTTGTCCTCAGATAAGACCCACGGCCTTTAACCGCTTGGATGCAAGTTCCTGTTTAGCCCCGCTTGACATACACACACACGCACACACAGCACAAGCCTTCCCCAGCCAACAACTCTGGCTCTTTCTCCTTCACTTTACATCCAGGGTGGGGCTTTTTGTGATGAAATAAAAACAAACAAAAAAAACACATAGAAGGTAATGTATAGGCGGAAAAAGAAGAGGGTAATAAAGAGGGTATGATATAATTTGCGGTCCGCCATGTTTAGGTGCCAGTTGTGTGCATCTCGCACCAAATGTTGCCTGAGGACCTTGGCTCGCAGATGGCTTGTCACATCTGTTGCAGATACAAGTGGAAGGTCTCTGCAAAATAGCAGCCATGGCAAAAAAACGAGCTCCCCTCGACTCTTCATAACATCGATCAGTTTGTTTTCATGAACACCACTTCATGCTGGAAGTCTGGACTTGGTTCCGTGCCTCTGGTAAGGCACAGACCCACCAGTTTTATGTCAGTACTTTTTCGGCAAAAGTGTTTCCATCTCTCTTCCAACTCTTTTTCGGAAAAGCCAACAACAAGAAATATGAGCTTGTTTAAAGCAAATAATTAATTCATACTGATTTAAAAGTACTAGATCCTCTAGTATTTCACTTATAGCTGGTACTTTTTCATAAATATTTCATAATTACTGACTTAAAATAAGCTCCTATATGTTACTGAAAAGATACTTGTTAGTATCTTATCTCAAGTGTATCTTTAAGATTTTGTGTTTTTGCAGTGGACAGCAGGCAGAACCAACCAAAAGCTGGTAATGGTCTGTTAGGACACTGTGCTCACCGTCTGATGCCTAAATGCCACACTCTTGGCAGTACAGTACATGAGCTCATCATTTGGCTCAAGAACTCCGCCCCTCCCTCATCTGAATCTCCACCCAAACTTCTTTACTACATTCACCCCCTTCTCCCACTGCCTCAACGCCCCCCAACCCTTCGATAAGATCATCATCTGTCGCTAGACTCCAGGGTCTGTCCCTGCACTCCACAGATACTTGGCAGACCAATGAATGTCCCTTTGTGTGGGGAGATCCTCCTCAGATAGCACCCAAGATGCTCCATACTGGCATCTGTTTGTTTTTTGTTTCTTTTTTTAAGTGTGCATGTGTGTCCTGTCTTTCTTTTCTGCTGCGGTGAGAAACAGGGCGTTCCCCTCTCCTTCCGGTGTCGTACAACTGAGAGCCAATGAGTTCCTCGGTGGCGGGACGCCAGCCTGCTATGATCTAAAGAATAAGTGGGTGTGAGCCATTGACAGGCAGAGAGGTGAGCTGCCACTTTCTACCTTTGAATGATGTCATTAGATATAAAGGGATTTTCAACAATCCTTCAGCTTGTAATTTTCTCTTTTCATTTCCAGTTATTTATATAGAAACATTTTTATTTCACTAAGTATACGCTGCATTCGCCTTTCACCCAACCTTACAGAGACTAGAAGGGTTTGCAGCGGTTGTGTGTCATTCAAGCCAAAAACTGTTTTTTTTTTTTTTTGGAACATTATATGGTCGTATTCATCCTAAAAGCACAGTTAAAAGGGCAGAATTATGTTTTCCAGGCACATAGTGCCATTTCATAGCACAATCAAGTTGCCTTCAATTGTTATGAAATGCTATTTATATATAAAATATGACTCAAAAGAAGTTTGACTTTGTAGCTTAACGCCTTGAAATTGGGCCTCTGTCTCTTTAAAAACTCCTGCTCTTTCTGAAACTCCGCCTTCAGGAAGTTATCACAACATCACACCTATTATTTCATTTTGTTTTTCCATTTCATTCACTCAATAAATATGAATGCATTATGTAACAACTAAAAGAAATCATGAATGAAAAGGAGCAGAAAGAAATATAAACTTATAATTCATTTACTATTGAATTATAATTAATATAATTATTAATATAATTATATAATTACCATTGAATCCCCATTCAATTAAACAAATACTGCCTCTTTAAAGACTAAAAGACTGAAAAGTGTGGTGTGCATTTATTTGTAGCCTCCACGAGAAAACACTTATACAAATTTATTTTTTTTTTTCTTGCCCTTTTTAGCAAAACAACTCAAACTCAAACTGCTGTGTCTGTGAAGGTCAGTTTTCTAGTCTTTCCACAGATCCTTAATTAGAGTTCAAACTGGACTTTGACTGGGCCTTTCTATGGAATGAGCATGCTTTGACCTAAACCGCTCCACTGTAGCTCTGGCAGTGCGTTTAGGGCCTTTTGTGGCCTCCAACTGGTTCTCTTCAGGTTGTTTTTAGCTCTATTAATCCATCCCCACTGAAGATAAGCATCCCTGCCGCATGATGCTCCCACCACAACATGTAGTGTGATTTTTGAATATAATAAACACTGCAAATGTCTTAATCCCAGGTAAAAAGCTAATGTTTCAACTAACACGAATGGAAATGAAACGAGAAAACTATGAGGATTGTTGAAAATACCTTCATTTATATCTAATTCTATTCCAGATGACAAAGTTAACAATGTTGCTTTTGAGCAGCCATATATTAAATTGTATGTCATTGTTTCCTTTCAGTGCACATTAAGTGCAGATTTCTTTTTTTTTTTTTTTTAATTTGCAGTCTGAAGTGGACGTGTTAATGGAGACGGATGACAAATTTTCTCTACAGCAGGCTCAAAG